GGGCTGGGGATTTGGGGGGAGGGATATGGGGGGACACAGGGTTGGGGTCTTGCCTGGATGTCCACGTCCTGGTTCACGGGGTCGTGCAGGAAGAAGCGGAAAGCATCTTCCCAGACGGGAGCAGATGTGTTATAGACCACCTGGGGGAAGCAGGGTTAGACCCCCACCAGCCAGCCCAGCCCCTGCACCCCAAGCCCAACTGCGGGGCCGCGCCGGCAAGGCTGGGCCCCCCCGGCCCACCTTGCTCTCCCGTGTGACATCCTGCACTGAGACCTGCACCATGGGGTTGGGCTCCTTGCCCGGCTTCTTCATCTGCAAAGAAAGGGGGGGCGTCAGGGGGGGCCCCACACATCTCTGACCCCACAGAGCAGGGAACTGGCAGCCCTGGCCCCCCTGGCCCCCCACTCACGGGCAAGTCCTCAGCCCGGTCCAGGTACACAACCAGAATGGCGGCTGATGGTGGATCAGGTTTGGCCACGATTGTCCGGTTCCTCTCCAAAACCTGGGGGATGTGCGCGGGGGGGGGGGTGTCAGCCAGCCCACCCCATAACCTCACCCCAGCTGGGCTGAGCCCCAGCAAACTCATCTCTGGGCTGAGCCCCGCTCACCTGGTCCAGTTTGGAGGCGTCAGACATGAGGGAGAGCCACTCCAGGCGCAGGTGGAGCCGTCCCTGGCCCCCCTCCTGCAGCGGGAACCACTGCGGGGCAAAAGGGTCAGCATGGCCCCCCCGGCCCCCCCAGCACACCCTGCCCCGGCACCCACCTTGTCCAGCACCCGGGCCTTCAGCACCTCCCCGAAATCCAGCTTCATCCTGGGGAAGGGAGAAGTAGGAAAGGCCATGAGTTGTGGGCTGGGGGGGCAGCAGCCAGCCCCCCCCCCCCCAACCATCAGCCCGGCGGTCCGGCCCCCCCGCACCTGCCCAGCAGGTCGTCCTGGTCGGGGTCCTTGTCAAAGAGCTCCACTTCCATCTCCTGCCCTGGCACCTCATGCACGATGAACTGGGGGACAGGGTCAGCAGGGGGGGATGCAGGGGGTACCCCCCTCCCAAGCATAGCCAGGCTGGGGACCTCACGGGGGTCCCCCTGTCCAGCCCAGCTGTGTTGAAGATGCTCCTGCCCCCACAGCCCGGCTGGGGACACTGGGAGGGTCCCTGTGCCCCCCACAACTGCAGCCAGGTCAGGGGGGGACACGGGGGTCCCTGCAGCCCCCAACAACCCCAGCTGTCTGGGGGGGTCCCCGGTGAAGGGGGGGGTATCTCACCTCATAGACCTCGTCCCAGGTGGGGTTGAGGTTGTCGTCGATGACGCGGCTGGTGACGACCTGGGTGCCAACGCGCAGGACGGCATAGGGGTCCGACTTGCCCTCCACCAGCCCCCCCATGAACCGGTCCTTCGACCGCAGGTCCCGGGCACCCCGGAGGTGCACCCGCACCACGCCCTGCGGAGTGGGGGGGTCAGCCAGGGATGGAGGGGCCCGGTGCAGGGTTCCCCCCACTTCCCCAGGACCCCCCCACCCTGGAGATTCCTTACCCGGGGCAGGGGGCAGCGGAGCTGGGCGGCTTCGTGCAGGTCGGGCACCAGCGGGACCAGGAGGCGGTTGGGCAGGACGAGGTAGGAGGAGATGGCGTCCATGATCATCGTGTCCGACATGGAGCTGGGGGGGGGGCGGGGTGGGCACAGTCACAGTTTGGGCCATGGACAGCACGGTGGTCCCAGGGGGCCGGGAAGACCCCCACAGCCGGGCTGGGGCTCACCTGAGCCCCGGGATGTCCAGCAGGTTGGTCATCCCTGTCCAGTTGATGTCCAAGATCTGGGGGGGGAATGGGGTCAGAGGGGGGGCCTGGACCCCAGCCACATCCTGCTTGGGGGAGGCCGGGGCTGCTGGTCCCTTGGAGGGGGGGGAGGGCACTCACTGGGCGCCGGATGAAGAACATGGTGAGGGCCCCCACGATGGGCACGTCCCCGAGGAGGGGCTCCAGGATGATCCGCAGCATCCCATGGAGCTGGGGGGATGTGAAATGTGACCCCCCCCATGGCCACAGCCCCCCACCCTGCCAGCTCCCCATACCCCCAGCCCCACTGCCCTCCCCGCAGCCAGGGCAGAGACCCCCCCCTCACCTGCATGCCTTTCACCCCCGCCTTGCAATAGAACTTCTTCACCTCCACGTCAATCTGGACATCACCCACGTAGCTGCAGAGACATGACGGAGGGGTTGGGGGGGGTGTCTTTGCCATGACACCCCCCCGGCCCCCCCCAGCAAGGGGGAGCTCCAGCAGCTGCTGTACAGGGGGGGCCCCCAGCAGGGGGGGGGGGGGGCGTGCAGGGGACTGAGACCCGGCGCCTTCGCCACACGGATGGCTCCGGCTGCTCACCTGATGTTGAGGTCCAGCAGGATCTGCTTCTTGTGGGCGCCGGGGTGAGCCCTGACCCCCAGGACCCGGAGAGGCTGAGGGGGGGGGACAGCAGTGAGCCATGGGGGGGGGTGATTGGGGAGCTGTGGGGGGACACACACACTCCCGGCCCCGAGGGGAGCCCTACCTTCTCGCCCATGTCCACCTTGGTGAAGGTGAAGGTCTGGAGGTGGGTGTTGGAGGCTCGGATGGACGGAGCGATGTTCTCCACCAGCAGCTTCTCCATGTACTGCCCGAAAAAGGGCCAGGCCTGGGCCAGGACCTGCCGGCAGCAGGACGGAGGGACGGACACAGGGGGATGGATGGACGGACGGAGGGACGGACAGATGGAGGGACACAGGGACGGACAGACGGACACCTCACCTTGTTCAGCCATTCTGCCCTCTCCACATCCGGGAAGCTCACCTGCGGGCAGA